GGTGACAATGGTGCAAGGTAATACTAACAACACCTTCACTAATCAAGTCTTTTGTTTCCCTTTTTATATTCATTTAATAAATGGGTAAATGACATAGGTAGATTTGTTTCATCACAATTATAAACAATTTATAAGTTTTATATATGATTTTAATTTTTTTTTAAAAAAAATTATGGTGTGTACTTGTCATGCTATAAACATAAGCGTTATAGAAAAAAATATGTTTTACTCAGAAAGTTAATGGTATGTATTTGTCGTGATATATATTCTATCTTCAAGAAAATTATTGTTAATTGGAAAACAACATTCAAGCAAGTTTTAAATTGCTTTTTAGAATATAATAATGTCATTTAAAGTTTAAATATAAAATTGATATAAGAACTTATACCATACTAAATATCTTACCATACGAAAATGGGTGAAAATGGTCAAAGTAACAAAAAAAGTCAAAAATAATAAAATAATGTCACACCCCAAACCGGAACAGCGGAAACGTTCGGGGGCGGAGGACGTCATGTACAGTATCACAACAATTGTATAATAGGAATCAAAACAAACACAAACATTACATTGATAACGTAAAGTATTTATATATGTTCGATACATAATTTCTATGACATCAAATTGTGTAGCAAAAGTATAAAAGATGCTCCTCTAAAACCTTCGTCTTCTCAAAACATGCGGGTGTATCTGTCTTACAGGTTCCCTGAGAATACAAGTGATTTTGAAAGTGTATCAACATTTAAGTTGGTGAGTTCATAAGTATGTTTTTGAGATGGAAAATGCTTGTCCTTGTTACTTGAAAATCGTTATAGTGTACTTCCACATAATCCAATATTTTCTTTAGTGAATGTAATGTAGTCATGTATGTTCCTTGTAAAAGTATATTGTATTAGTGTACTCAGTACTAGTAAATAGTGTATTATAACTAGTTTTGTATGAAAGCCTTTGTATGAATGCCTGGATACCACCAGCAATAATGTAAATTAGTGTACTGTAATAGTGTTTGTATGAAAACCTTGGTATGAATGCTTGGTTACCGCCAGCAGTAGTGTAAAGTAGTGTACTGTAGTTTCATTAATTAAAATAAAACCCTTGAAGTAGTGTTAAGCCTGTAAACAAATGTTTTAGTTATACTGTTGTGAGTTTCATATAACCATGCTTTATATGACCTAGTGACCCCTACGACGTTCTTCAGACGTCCGAAAGTTATGACATTTGTCACCCCAGTCCTGTCGGACTAACTGTAGCTAGCAGTTCAAGTGTGGGATTGGCAGTCCCGTATAGATCTATACACAAATCTCACGCTCTCCCTCCAGGAGACTCTGGTTATACTGTATAGGATTTAGTTCTGTACCCTGATGGATACACTTGAAGTAGTGCCTCACAACCATGTATTAACTAGTTACGTGTAATGTTATAGTGTTGTAGTGTTCTCTTGTACTAGAAACTGTAGGTATTGCCTTGTATTAATGTACTTTGTAGTGCAAAATAATTATACTTAAATAATTATTTTAGTAGTGTATCCTTGTATCAATGTATTAGAGTAGTGTTTCCCAAACTATACATATTATAGTATGAATATATGTTCTTGTTCTGTGTATTGCACTTAGCAAAATAGTGTAGTGATTATCAAACTATACCAATTATAGTTTAACTGTAATGTACTGAAAACATTTGCAATGTAATTGTATGAAAGTAAAATACCCTTATGCTTGACATGTTACCAAAGGGTTAAAAATATAAGAATATTTTTATGAAATGTAGCGAATACTCGGTTTGAATCAATTGCAAAGGTTTTAAAACTGTTTAAAAATGTTTGTATAAAAACACAAAAGTCCTTGTGTTTTACTTGTATTCCCCCCCCCCCCCCTAAAAACATTAAAAACATTGAAAATGTAGGGGTATGAACTCACCTCGTATGTGCGTTTGAGTTTGAATATCGAACCGTAGAAACGATCCTCGGACTAGCGTACGTGCGAATAATGTTATCCTAAGAATAATTATATTCGACGTCGTATTTAAATTAATAAGATATTAATTTAAATAATAGGTTAATTAATAAATTAATTAAGTAATGAATACTTACAAATTATTTGGAATAATTTGGAAATGTTGCAAGGTGTTTTCGGTTGGAAAAAGGGGTTTTCAGTTAGATCTTGATAAATGCTTGAAGATTTGAAGATTTGGATGAACGTTCTTGGTGTTCTTGGTGTTGTAGGTGTAAATAAGAAGATCTGGGTAGAAAACTCTTGAATATAAGTTGTTTACGGATGATAGTTGAGAGCAAAATGGGAAGTGTTTACGGTTGAGAAATTGGGAAATGAATTGGGTTCACGGTTGAAACTAATTATATAGGGGTGGTTTACGGTTCATATTGGGCCCTAGGCTTTGGATTTTCGGTCCACTAATGGACCTTTGTTTGTCTTTTCGGCCCAATAAAGGGTGTTTACTGTCAAACTTGACCGAAAACCCTAATTCTTGAATTTTTCCAACCGTAAACCCCATTTGGAATAGATTTCATGGCCGAAAACTCCTTGATTCTTGATTTCCTTCACCAAAATCTCTTATATGGGGTTTATTTTAGGATTTAACCCTTAGACTATCAACTTATGTTAAGTTATTATATCATATTCCACTTAAGACTTAAGCTACATATAGTTATTAGCTTATAAGTATACCCTTAAGTCAATAGAAGATATGTATATACAAGGATTGAAATGTAGTTTTAGACTCTTATTGATTTGAGAATGACGAGTTGTTACAAATAAATACTTGAATTCTTTTTATTCACAACATAACAACTTTTGAGCATTTGAATTACATGTGATTCATATGTAAACCACAAGTGAATCACATATGAATTACATGTGATTCACATGTAAATCACATGTAATTCACATATGAATTGCATGTAATTTACATGTAAATCACAAGTGAATTACATGTGATTCACATGTAAATCACAAATGAATCACATATGAATTATATGTGATTCACATGTAAATCACATGTAATTCACATATGAATCACATGTAATTCACATGTAAATCACAAGTGAAGCACATATGAATTACATGTGATTCGCATGTAAATCACAAACGAATCACATATGAATCACATGTAATTCACATGTAAATCGCAAGTGAATCACATGTGATTCACATGTAAATTACAAGTGAATCACATATGAATTACATGTGATTCACATGTAAATCACATGTAACTCACATGAATCACATGTAATTCACAAGTGAAACACATATGAATTACATGTGATTCATATGTAAATCACATATGAATTACATGTGATTCACATGTAAATCACAAGTGAATCACATATGAATTACATGTGATTCACATGTAAATCACAAGTGAATCACATATTAATTACATGTGATTAACATGTAAATCACAATTGAATAACATATGAATTACGTCTATATATACATACATGCATTTTGTGTGAGTGTTCTTCGTTAATTACTTAAAAAAAATTTCTTGTGAATTTCACATTTGAATCTTAAAAGATATAATCACATGTGAATATCACATTATATAATCACATGTTAATCTTACGTGATATAATCACATGTGAATCTTACATGATATATGCATATGTGTTTTTATGAGTGTTCTTGCATTAATCATTTTTTTTTAATTTTCTTGTAGATTTGAAAGAATTTTTGAAAAATATTGAAAATGAGAAAAGTGATAAATTGAAGAAAATATGGAAATATTGACACGAAGAAAATGATAACACATTGAATCTTTGTAGCATTTTTTGTTTTTTCTATTTTGTTTTGTATTGAATAAAATACTTGTACTATTATGTTTATAGATTGATTAATAAAAATGAGATTTTTTATGATTTATTTAAGAATATTATAGTATAAGAAATATGCATATATGCATTTGAAAAAATATGCACCTAAAACGTTGATTTTTTTTTTGTTAAAAAAATTTGAGTTTGTTTTTTTTAAATATTCTAGTTCATTTTTTTTAATTTACTGATTTTTAAAATTTTACTTTTTAAAAAAATGCAGTTTTTTTAAAAAAAATTGCAGTTTTTTTGAAAAAATTGCAGTTTTTTTAAAACAAATTCAGTTTTTTTAAAATAATTGTAGTTTTTTTGAAAAAAAAAATATGTTGTTTTCTTGAATAAAACGCAGTTTTTATTTAAAAAAATTGCAGTTTTTTTAAAAAAATATTTTTTTCATTTCTTTTTTAAAATTCATGTTTTCTGAAGAAAAAAAATTTAAAAATCTCTGGTTTTTTTTTAAATTGAAAATTATTTTAAAAAAAAGTCCGAAATTTAATTTATTATGTTAATTTTTAGAACTTTTTAGTAATATTTCCATTAACAAAAAAAATCAAACATTAAATGAGATCGGTAAGATGACTATCATGCCCTTAATGAATTAATTTTGATCTAACGCTCACCTTTAGTTCTCAGGTTGTCGGGAAACTATGAGTTCTCAACGGATTTCATATATATATAATATATATATATATATATATATATATATATATATATATATAGATATATATTATATATATATATAATTACAAAAATCTATATATATAAATCATACGGTCCGATCCAGTTTTATACGGTTTCTAAAGTTTGAAACCGAAAGTCAAACCGTAAACAAAATACAAACCGCGAAACCAAACTGATGATCGGTTTGGCCAGTTTCACGGTTTCAAACCGAATCGTAAACACCCCTAAGCTACATATTGGCGGTGCATGTTGCTGCTTAAGTCACTAACGGCAACAAAAGGTAGTATTAGGGGCGACATGGGTCTCTCTCATTGGCCTTACATCTAGTAGTGTTAAAAAAAAAAAGACTACAAGCCAATGCAAAGTTTATAAATTGGCATAATTCATCCAAATATTAATGATCATGCTAGAACTCTCATCGGTTCTCGATATATACTTAAAAAAAAATTACAATAAATGTAAAAAGATTCAAAATAAGTATGGTCTTATTCAGATTCTACCGATTCTGGTTTTGAATATGTATGACATTTTGACTGGCATCTGAACTCTGTCGAGAAATCGACAAGCCCGATTGTTTCCCATGAAACGTAGTGATCCTCATCCCATGTTCGTCATAAATAATATCATCTTCATCCTCATCAGGTACCCGACATTTTTCTCCAAGAATTATCCTCTTTTTCCAAACCGAATCCTCACGTTGCAATTTATCCGTATCATATTCTTTATCTTTACCGTTATCATTTTCTTTCTTTGAACCTTTCTTGAGCCCTTTTAATCTCCCTGATAGTCTCATGCTCATACTCGATGTCAATTTAGCACCATGAGATGTATTTGAGCTCGGCCCCACATGGTAAGATGACGCCCGTATGCTGGCCAGTCGTGGTGGCGGTGGAAGTTCTTTTTGTTGAGGTGTTGGTGGTTCCAGTGGCGGAGGATTGCCGGTTTTATCTTCAGTTTTGACGTGTGCCACCTCGCTTGTGCGTTTGTTTGTTGTCGAGACAAGTAATTTAGTATTCTCGCTGATTTTTCTTGCCGGATTATTTAATGGCGGAGCTCGTTTTTTTTTCTTTTTGGCACAAAGAAGTGATATAATTGTGATAGTTGATAGGATAAAAGCAAAGATGAATGATCGTGATAGTAGTGGGTTGTTTGTAGGAGTTTTGCTTGTTGGGATATTTCTTACCATTGCTCGAAAACATTAATCAAAATAATTACATGATTGAAGAGGAAGAGTCTAAGAAGCTAAGCACTTTGTGAGGTGGATTTGTGTAGTGAACGACTTTTTTTAGAAAGAATCGGAAAACCATTAACTTTGAATTGTTTGACATAGTGAAGTTCCTGAAATGTTGTTTTTACGAAACAAATTGCTTGAATTGTGGGATGGGAAGGAGGGAATGGCTAATAAAGTGGAGGTTTTATTATTTCTTTTATATTATAAAATTTGTAGTTACATGTTTATACAATTATCATCACGTTTAGGTATTATTTTCTTTTTATAGGATCAACTTCAATGGTGTTAATACAATGTATAAGAACCCATCATTTTGGTGAGCACTGTTTATAAACTGCAAATATACTTTATTAATATACAAAATATCATAATCGGTCTCTTCGGGAGTTTGGGTTACAAAAAATTTCTCTGACAATAACTGTCAAAACAGTTACATATTTAGTCCATATAGTTTTGATTTTTTGTATGGTTGGCCTTTGATCTATTTCATGTTTTTTTTATTTTATTATATTTCTATTTCAACTAACTTTATCTTCTCTAATAAATGAAGGTTTTTTTGTCACTTGTCAAAATTGAATTTTCATTCAATTTGTTAAATGTCATTTGTGGTTATTTTGAATTAATTTTTTTTTCCACATGTCATTTTATGAGTTTTTCCATTTTATTAAATTTCACATAATATTTTGATATAATAATTGCAATAAATATAGTACTAAATTGATATCAAATTTATTAATGAACTTACCTTCAAAATTCAAAATTCTCAAAATTAAAGTTTATTAGTTTCTTTTATTTATTTAAATTTAAAAGATCAAAAACATTTCTATTATATTAATTCATAATTTTTCTTATTTTTCTTATAAATTCAAAGTTCTCAAATATTTTGACCTTTATATTTATTTTTATTTTTTTAAATTAACCCATGTAATACATGAGTCTCACAACTAGTTTAACAATAAATAAATAAACACAACCCATCCTCCCCACAGCATTCCCAATAAAACCCACAGCATCAGCGACCAGACTTGGCCATTTCTTCCCTTCCTACTCGTTCCTTCCACAACAACCACCAATCACTCTTACATTTGCAATTTCGCCTAAAATTTAACAACAATTTGGCAATATAAAACTTCTCTCCCGCCTCTTCTTCCTTTACGTACTCGAAAACAATCTTGTTCGGTTTTAGTTCAAAAATAATTTCATAAACTAGAAAAATATGGCAACGGAAGACTTAAATTTTTTAACATAACATAACATTTTATACCTACCAAGGATCTCCTTGCAAGTTGTAGAAAGATTTAAACACCAACCAAAGAAGATGTGAAGAAATGACAACCTTTGTAGTTCTTTGGGTCCTCTTGGGAGGCTTGGAAGTTGATGAAGAATGTGAAACCTTTAAGACACCAACAATGACTCAACTTGATGTAGATCCTAGTCCATAAACTCTTAATCCCTTAAGCTTTAAGTTCATAACCAATATGAAGTTAAAGAGGGCATGAAAATGCAAGTAATCTTCAAAAGGAGATGAAGAAAAGAGAGAGAGAGAGAGAGAGAGAGAGAGAGAGAGAGAGAGAGAGTAACCTCCTTTAAGGAGGTTACGGTTTTGGGAAGCAAGAATGAAGCACCCAATTCAAGAGTGGAAGCCTCATATTTATATTGTCTTAAAGTGAAGTCTTTAACCATTAGGTCCTTCCACTTTAGAGAAGCATGTCCCTAAAGCTTACATGTCTCTCATGCTTCTTATTACTTTTGATTAAACAAACATGAAAGCCATACTCTTGTCTTTTGACTATTATTTTATAAAAATAATAAAAAGGAAGAAGACAAAAGCTTTATATTTTATAAACCAAGTTTATAAAATATAAACTTTAACTTTTTGGTAAAAGACAAAAGAATTTATCTAGTCCAAAATGTTGTACATGACTTATTAATTCGTACCATATGAATTATTTATAATGTTACTTGCTAATGGAAATTATTATTTCCTAGAAGTATATAATTTCCGATTTAATTATAAGAGTTGATTGAATATTTATTAAAACCATTTTCTAATAAATAATCAATTGTATCAAGTTGTTGTTAGTGTAACCCATTAGTATCATTTGCTAATTAGCAATATGAGCATACTAGACCTTTTAATCTCCCACTTGCGCAAGATTCATATTAGACTGATATAGACAGCGGTGAACGTCTAGCAACATTTCACTACCCCTAACAACATACGAATTTGTGTCATTCTATCAACGTCCAATTCCCAAAAAGCTCAAAGCTACAATTGGTGTATAAGGTAAGTTTATCAGTTATCCCTTTGCTACAGACATCATGGTGAACATGAGATACATATTGCAATCAATCTCATTAGTTGTTCAACTTTTGGTAAGGCGCCTTAGCTGTCTAACTGTCAACACATAAGAGGAACAAACCCCATCTTGACTACATAAACCTCTTGCATAGTTTACACCATACCTGAAAATGGCTTTTATAACTGCCCGGTTAAGGAACAACATTTGACCATATCAAAGCATAGTACTCCCCTAGACTTAAGTCCCACTATGTATCTCATGTGTTAAGGATACAAAGATAGTACCTTTTAATCAAGTATCATTCATGATAGCGATCCATGAGATGATCTTGATGCGGGTCAGTTCAATACTAGTTCTATGACAAGTACCTATGAAACTTGGTTACAACTGCTTGCCTACTTTCATCTAGTGAGAGTCGACCAATCCAATTCATATTAGTCTTACTTTATAATTTCTCCCATAATTATAATTGACTATGAACTTTTAGAATAATAACATTATTCATGAATTAAACATGTTAATATAGAACACAACAAGTATTAATGTGATGACTATATCCCAATATATCATAACATTATCTAATAGTTGTTGTTATAATGTTCCAATATCCAAATTATAAATCCAAATCAAAACCTATTTCTAGAATAATAAAGTCTTATAGCTGAGGTGTGACCACTCATACTTAGCTCAAAAGAATGACTATATCAATGGACTAACAAAATTCAATTTGTGTGAATTCTGTGAATACTATCATCTCCATACTTAACTTTACTCTAAGTATAGTTAAATATCTTGGAGAATATGATTGGTGTTCTTACATGACATAGAGTTTCTTAGCTTGATTAAGTATACTTTTGAAGTCACAAAGATTTCTATGTGATCCTTGAATGGCAGAAATCAACATAGTTTTTCAATGATCTCATTCATCCAATCATATTTGAATTCAACTTCTCAAGTAGTGTATTCTTATTTTGTAGTAGATTGTGTCATTATGTTTTTCTTTGACCTCATTCCAACAAGACTTACCCTTCATTCCATAATGAAGTCAAAATCCAATTATAATTCATAATTATTTATATATGTTTAGAAATTAACATCTTGTGTAGCTCTTTCCATAAAGATCCTTTCTAAATTGATTGTCTCATATACGTTCTCTTAGTTCTTCTAAAGTACTCTTAGAATGCTCTCTTAGTCATCCAATGACTTAACCATGTATTCAATTAGTATCCTATGACATGCTTACAGCATGATCAAATACCATGTCCTATGCATAATATGGCGTAAATGATGAATTCATTTGCAAGCATATAGAATATAAATCATTTCATCTAGTTCAAGCCTATGAGTTATGTACTTTTGAGGCTAGCTCAAAATGGTGCCATATAACAATGCCAAGAATTCTCCAAAAGAATCTTGTGTCTTGATCCCTTTCAAGATATTGCCAATATATGTATAAGGACATGAAACTTTTAACATTCATTTTATCTATTCCTTATAGATTTTACATTCCAAGAATGTATCTTCTCTTTCCTAAGTCTTTCATTTTAGAAACACTTTTCGAATTAAGGTGAAAACGACCTTGCTTAGTCAGAATGTGATTTCAAATGATTAAGTATGTCTCATTTATACAAGATTACGAATTTCGCTATGCTCCTACCAGTTCTTAGTAAACACACATGTTCTATTCATTTTGATATAAAAACATACCTTGTGGTTTTACATTAAAATGATGATTGCAATATTGATATGTTTACTTTATATCAACAAGTGGATCTCAAGCTATACACATTTTGTTAGGATAACATGGATTAAGAAAACCTCCAGGCTAATCTATATAGATATCTTCTAGTAGATGTCTATTAAGAAAATCGGTCTTTCTTGAAATCTATTTGCTATATCTCATATTAAGAATATAAATTTATAGTAAATAATATCCTTGTTGATCTAATCATAGCTACTTGTGAAAAAGGTTTGATCATAGTCAATGTCATGTATATTATGAGGACCTTTTTACAAAAAATCTTGCTTTAAATATGTATGGTTATCCATGTAATTTATTCTTTCTAGAATAATCATTTTCTCCTTCTAGCCTTGCTATAGGGATAAATTTTAATCAAGCCATACTTGATTCTCATACATGGATTACATATCATGTTCATGACTCTAAGTCATTTATCAGATTCGAGATCTGACATAGCATCTTGGTACTTGATGGATTTTCCAGAAACCATCAAAAAAGCTCATCAATGAGAGATTCCACATTTCTCAAGTCATAGATGATTTCTACCACTAATGCGAACAATTTGTGTTTGTGAATAGCTATTATTCAATTTTAACAATCCTTGTTAAGACTAGTGCCAACTATTACTACATAAGGTTATGGTTCTTGAGCTGCTTCAAGTTCCGTGTACTTCCCACTTTCTTTGTCATTAGAAGCTTGCTTTCTACTAACTTAGCTTTCACAAGAATGAGAGAACCTTATTCTTGGTGGGTTTACATATAACAATCAAAGCCAAATTTAGAGTATTACAGAAATATGTATTTAGTAGATTTTGGGTTTAGAGCTTTAGTCCAACATCGACTTCAAATCCATAAAACATTAAGTAAGATGAGGATGGAGCCCTTCCATACTAAATCTTATAAATTGTCTGA